TTAACATTGGTACTGTTTGTTCAGTATTGACTAATTCAGTTCACAGATATTTAGTACTCTTAAGTATTTGCTTTAACAAAGGTTAAAGCAAAAAATATGGCTAGCATATAGAAGCAATTCAGTATATCAAATCTTCTATTATACATCAACAGAAGGGAGCTGTTACTATATGGATTCCTCTTTGGTTTGTTTTAATGCCCTGATATAATGTTTATGTGTTCTGGGCATTTACATATGTGTAAATTTATCATTTGTTTTTTGTAGGCTTACTTTTTAGATTTGTTTGTTTAAGACAGGATCTTGCCCTGTATCCTAGGCTGGTCTGGAACTCATCATAAATCCTCCTGCCTCAGCCACCTAAGTGCTTGGATTGCAGATGTGAACCACCAGTATCAGCTTTGATATCACTTATTTTGTGTATTGATATATTAAATTAACATATGCCGAAGGTCATAGAGCTGTTAGGTAGCCAAATGTGGACTTAGCTCAGATTTGCCTGGTTCTGGTTCATATTGTTCACTGTTCTTTCCTGTTTTCAGTGGTACTTGCCCTTCCTTCTCCGTAAGGGTGTTATTGAGATAAATGAAACATAATAAAATTATTTGATAGCATGGGGTTTGAAGATCTGAAATTATTTTTTCTTTGAGTTACTTTTAGTCATTTATGGATAAATAGCTGAGAACCAAATATAATAAAAGTTATGAATATTGAATCAGTTACAAGTAAAATTTGCAGTATTTCGGCTAGAAATAGTTGACCTGATTCTCAGTGTTTGCAAGCGTGAGAGTCACCGAGAGCGCTGAAAGCAGGCTGTCTAGCCTCCCCTCCCCTCTGTGTTTGCTCACTGTCTCTATCCATGAGGGGGCACAGAGGATTCCTTTCCAGCTGGTTCCCAAGTGACACTGATACTTTTGGTGCAAAGACCATATTTTAAGCCCTATATTTGAATAGCTTCTGTAAATTTTTAAGACGTATTTCTTAAGAAAGGAAAGAGGTCAAAATAGAATTTTTAATAATGGAATATGGTAAACCTGATGTCATTAATTTTAAGTTCCTGTTTTTTTTTTACCTTCGCCTTTTAAAGTTTTATTTATAATTATTTAATTGAACATTAAAAATATGATTTATTTATGACAATTTAACTCCCAATACTTGTTGTTAATTTAAAACTTTTTAGTTTTATTTATTGTTTGTATGTGTGAAAGAGAAAACAAATGTGTCACTCCCATGTATAGAGGTTAGAGAGCTGTGAGTTTGGGGGATCAATTCAAACTCATCCATGACGCCTGAATAGCAAAGTGTTTTCACCTGCTGGCCAATATGGTGGAAAGAGTGTGCACAGGTGTTCTTTACCAAAGACCTTTCTTCAATCTGTTTTTAGTTTTTGATAGTTTTTCTTTTTAACCTGCTGTGAAATAAACTGTTTGAAATGAGGAGTTCACACATTGGTTAAAATGAGATGAAGTACTCTGAGAATAAAAGTGTGTGGAAGCAGGTTTGCCATAGCACCTTACTGACCGTGCGTCAACCAGAACACTGGAGAAGAAGAGGGCTTTTAGGAGCTTATGTGGGGCATCCTCACTAACCTTTCCATCTATCCTCTAAGTGTGTCATGAGATAATTTCTCCCATGGTCCTAGTTATGATGATGTCCAGGGGTGAGGGGTTACCACACACCCTTTTAGAATAGAGCCTCAGAATATAAAACTGCTTGGCATCACATAGTATAGGCTGGGATCCGTAAGAACTAGTAGGAAGTCAGGCAGCCAGGCTCTTTTGCCTGGCACTGTTCTTTTCTCTGAGTGGGTCGAGGATCTGGGCAGTTTACTATAGTGCTGTCTTTCTCCTGCTACTTTTCTGCTGTCTTCAGAAGTCAGCTATCTAAATCTACTTCATTATCCAAACCGAAAAGTGGCTCACTGTGTCTTTACTGATAGAATTAGTCAGGCATTGGCCTTGCCCTAGTTCTCTTTGTTCAGTTGATAGTAAGCAAGCTTCCTTCCTTTTTTGGTAAACAGAAGACAGTCACTTTTTAGGTGGTAAAACTCAAGTCTTCTTAAGGCTAATATTGATACAGATATCCAGTAACATCTAATAACTATTGGGTACTTACATGCCAGCAACAGGAAGACATTGCCCCCTTTTAATCCTGTTTTGCTGTGCTGTGCACATGAGAAAACTGAGACTTCAAGATGACCTTCACAGGTCATTAAACAATTTGGACAATATTATAGCCACAGCAGCCTGGTTCTAGAGCCAAGTCTCTTAAAATTATATTGTTGTGCCTGTCTAGATCTGTGTAATATGTATCATGTGTGTGCTTACGTATTGTGTGTACATGTGTTCTTTACAAGTTATATTGTGTTATACTTTATACCTCATGTACCACAGACTCCAGAATGAATTTCTTACCTAATACTAAGAGTTAGTACGACATAGAAAGCTAAATACCACTCAGGTAAACAACTAAAAAATTCATGAATACAAAGTTGACAAAATTGTTAAGACCTTACTAATGGTCACTATTGTAAGCATTTCATATGTGTAAATTCATCTACTCCTGAAATCAACCTTTACTATAATTGAGCAGCATTTACCCCTTGGCCTGCCTGCCACATAACCCTGAGTTTTCCTTTTCTCTAGACTCAGTACCCGCAGTTCTATTGCTCATTTGACATGATCTGAGTTCTTCTCTTCACTGGGTATCATGGTTTGTTTCAATTCCCTCTAGGATGATGCCTAAAGTCTGTGTACCTGATTCGAACTGACATTTCCAGAACTAAGGGAACATCTCCTCCCTGACATTCTGTGCATTACAGTTCTATTAATAAAGCTTAAACCCACATCAGACTAGGGTATTAAAGTGGTACTGAAGTTAAAATCCCTAAACCCTTAAAATATCCCTCAGATTAGTTATTTCTCTCCTTTGTGCTTGTGCCAATGTTTTGGAATGCTTATATTTTATCCCTATTAAAATTATGTTAAATGTTAGGTCTTTTGGTATCCTTAACTTGTTGTCCAGTGTTTTTGCTGCCCTTCATGGTCACATCATGATCACTACAAAGGGAAAGTGCAGAGCCTGGAGGGGCGGTGGTGGCACACACCTTTAATCCCAGCACTCGGGAGGCAGAGCCAGGTGGAGCTCAGTGAAGTGAATTGGAGGCTAGCCTGGGCTACAGAGTGAGTTCGAGGAAAGGCGCAAAGCTACATAGAGAAACCGTGTCTTGAAACAAAAACAAAAAACAAACAAACAAAACCCACAAAGGGAAAGGGCAGAGCCAGAGTGTGGTCATCCTGATTCTACAGCACACCACTAGGATCACCTCCTGTCCCATCCTGATTCTACAGCACACTACTAGGATCACCCCCCTGTCCTCATCCTGATTCTACAGCACACCACTAGGATCACCCTCCTGTTCCCATCCTGATTCTACAGCACACCACTAGGATCACCCTCCAGTTCCCATCCTGATTCTACAGCACAGCACTAGGATCACCTCCTGTCCCTGTTCTTTTAGAAGTATGCACTGCACATTTGCTTATTTACCTACCTGGACTAAATTATAATTTTAGGTTTGTTTTTAAAAATCTTGAGAGACATTATAAAGTTCTTTACTAGTCTCTAAACATAAAAATACACTTTTTGATAGAAAACTCTAACCTCATTGTGAGAAGAAACAAAGTCTCTGATGTGCCTTATTATTGTTAGCTCATTTAGACTAGACTTAATCCCTTTAAGGTGATCATAAATCACATCGTTACTAATGTTAGAGTGTTATCTGGAGTTAAGATGAATCTTCTCAGACTGTTTATAAAATTTGGTCTTGCTTTTGAAATTAGTGTCCAGGCCTGTATCTCTGGTATTAGTTCAGAAGCTCATTTGTAGGTCTGTGTTACTATCTTGTTTAGTCTGGGAGAAATATGTTCTTATAAAGTATCTAGCTCTTCCTTTTTAACCTTTCTGTCTTCCATTTTCATTGTTCACTGTTCAGCCTGAATATGATTCTTCGTGTTAAGTCAGACAAAAGAGAATGTGTGTGTGTGTGTGGGGGGGGGGGGTTACAAATCTGCACATACATAGTTAATTGCATGTAAAGGAATAGACTTTTAGAGAAAGTTAATATTAACCTAGACTTGAAAATTTGTATTGAGGAAAGGAGGATGAAAAAGGAAAGGTTATAGACAATACTTAGCACTTACTAAACATTTGGGAGATAGTACATTTTTTTAAAAGATTTATTTATTTATTATGTATATAACATTCTGCACCCAAGTATGCCTGTATGCCAGAAGAGGGCACCAGATCTTGTTATAGATGGCTGTGAGCCACCATGTCGTTGCTAGGAATTGAACTCAGGACCTCTGGAAGAACAGCCAGTGCTCTTAACCTCTGAGCCATCTCTCCAGCTCTGAGATAATACATTTTATAGAGAGCTGTAACATTAATAATTACATGAGCCGTATTGGAGTGAAAGGCTATTGTGGGAAAGAATATAAATTAGTGAGCATGAAGGTCATAGGAAGAGACAGTTTAATAAAGTGAACCTTATGGTGCAATATGGAGCTATATGTGCTATATATCTTTACATGGAACTTGATGCTTTATAAAGTCACTGTCAATTGGTATTGTTGATGTTGTTATTGAGCAAATAGCAAATAGCTAGTGTTTCAAAACTAATTTGACTGTAAGCAATGTTTTCTCCATATATTTGTATTTTATTGTAATGATAGCTGAGTCTTTAATGAAAATACTCAATGAAACAGTTTGCATGTAAAAGTCCTTATTTGAGGGTTATCATACAACATGTTAGTTCTCTACTTCCTATAACAAAGGAGTTGCATTAAATGATAAAGTCCTTCCATCTCTAAAAGTCTCTATTTTAATGTTCACTGTTTAAAACCTAGCAAAATGGTGAATAAACAAGTTTGACATGTGCTCTTTGGAACAGACTCACAGTGGCATGGCTATTTTGAAATAACTGTGTCTTTTATTTTCTGTAGATGGACCACACATCCCCGACCTACATGCTTGCTAACTTAACCCACTTACATTCAGAACAACTTCTGCAGGGCTTGAATCTCCTTCGCCAGCATCACGAACTCTGTGACATCATTCTTCGAGTAGGTGATGTTAAAATCCATGCTCATAAAGTGGTACTTGCCAGCATCAGCCCGTACTTCAAAGCCATGTTCACTGGAAACCTCTCTGAGAAGGAGAACAATGAGGTTGAGTTTCAGAGCATTGATGAGGCTGCCCTGCAGGCCATTGTGGAGTATGCCTATACTGGGACAGTCTTCATTTCTCAGGATACGGTGGAGAGTCTCCTGCCCGCAGCAAACCTACTGCAGATAAAACTTGTCCTGAAAGAATGCTGTGCATTTCTTGAGAGCCAGCTTGACCCTGGGAACTGTATTGGAATTTCCCGTTTTGCAGAGACATATGGCTGTCATGACCTTTATTTGGCGGCTACTAAATACATATGCCAGAATTTTGAATCTGTTTGCCAGACAGAAGAGTTTTTTGAGCTTACGTATGCTGATTTGGATGAAATTGTCTCCAATGACTGCTTGAATGTCGCTACTGAAGAGACAGTTTTTTATGCATTAGAGTCTTGGATCAAGTATGACGTGCAAGAACGCCAGAAATACTTAGCACAGCTGCTGAACAGCGTTCGATTACCATTGCTGAGTGTTAAGTTCCTCACTAGGCTCTATGAAGCAAATCACCTTATCCGTGATGATCGTACGTGTAAACATCTGTTGAACGAAGCCCTAAAGTACCACTTCATGCCTGAACATAGACTCTCTCATCAGACAGTCTTGATGACGCGACCTCGCTGTGCTCCCAAAGTGTTGTGTGCGGTAGGAGGAAAATCTGGACTCTTTGCCTGTTTGGATAGGTAAATAAATGGGGTTTTTAAAGGAGTACTACTAACAGATGGTGTGCTTTTTAAATGTGCTAATTTTCTGTATTTAAAAAATAATTTTATTTTCCTTTTATTTGCTGTGTTGGTGTTCTTTCTCTCCTTTTTATTTCCTAAAATATTTATGAGGGTATTTTAATCGTATTTCCATACATTCTCTATTATACTCAATTATTAGTCTTTTCCTCACCCCAAGTGTGTACATTTCTCTATCCTGGTTATACTAATTTTTCTAATGTTTCATTGTTTCTACTTCTTTCTCCTCCTCTTCCTCTCCTCTTCCCTTTTCTTGTTCTTCACCCTCTCCTCCTCCTCTTCTTTCTGACAGTGTGCTAAAGAAGAGAGCTAGGAACCGGTGATGAGGGCAGACTGAGGACACGAGGAGCTTTGAAGGAAAATAGTTAATTAGGAGAACATAAGTGAAATGAGAAACTACTGTAAATAATAACTTGGGTGTGAATTTCTTTTTCATTGTGTTTTTTACAATTGTAAAGAGTTCTTTTTATTTTCCTAATATTTTACAGCAGGGATTGTCAGTCTGCTTCTGTGAAGAGCAAATAGGAGAAATTTCAGACTGGTAGGCCCTCTTGTCTTTAATTCCACCGTTGTGGGATGAGAGCAACCATAGATAGTATGTAAATGATGAAGCATGGATGTGTTCTAATAAAACTTTATTTGTAAAAGTCGATGGACTGAATTTTAGCCCATGGCTGTGTAGCTTGCCACCCCTTGATTTAGTTCTGTGTACAAGTCACCTTTCGACACCGACAACATAGCTTGAGGTTCTTTGTCTCTTCTTTCATAACCATCACTTCATGATTTTGATTTTTGATTTTGTTATATTTTGTTCTTGAACAGAAACATCTGAGTATGTTTGAAAGAAGATGTCAAAATGAAGAGGGGAGCAGGCTGAAGATATAGGACAAGGGATGGTCACTGGTAGATCAAGGTCTTGAAATAGTAGGACAGTAGTGGAAAAGAGGGGTTTGAATAGTTGGAGAAATACAGGTAGAACAGAGAGATGAGAGAAGGGGTCTGAGGAGATCCTTTAAGGTCTGCTAGAGAAGAAAGTGTGGGTTGGATAGGTAGCTTAGGAAATTTCCAAAAGAACCAAGCTGCTCCTTAGACACAGGGAGTCATAAGGATGACAGTGTACTGAGAATACTTTAAGGAGCTGTGAAAATTTTAAATCTTCAGTGGATAAGTAGCAACACAATCTATACTCACTCCATGAAAGTATCAATATAACTGATCACCATTTGTCCTTAGAAGACTTTTTGGGGGATGAGTATAGTACCACACTCCTGTAATCCCAGGATTTGGGAGACAGGGGCAGGAAGATAGCCATGAGCTTGGTCATTCTGCTTTACCTAAGGAGTTCTAAGCCAACCAAGTCTACATAGTAAGACACTGCTTCTAATTAAAAACAAAAGAACAGCAACCCAAAAAAATCATTAAGAGGAATACCTTTATGCCACATCTGCTTATATGAGTTACCAAACATGATTTAGGTCAGCAGAAATCCATGAATTCTAGATAATCCCCCTTTAGAACTTCTGGTTTCATTTCCACTGTGAGGTTTGTTTGTTTGTTTGTTTGTTTTTTCCTTACACCAACCGTAGATTTTATTTTGTGTCACCCGCTGGGTATTTAGCAGTTCTGTTCAGTTCATCTCTGATGCTAACTCTCTTGAATTGGCCCAAACTGGGCAGGTAAAGGGCTTGGTCTCATAGTACTGCTCCTACTTCAGCTGCTAGCTTTTGTCATCACCAGTTACCTCGGTATATCTAAATCTTGTTTGCTGGTACTCTGGTTTCTGACCAGCTCCTTTCATACCAGCTTATTTTAGTACATGTACTCTGTTATGGTTTGAATGTGCTCCCAAAGTTTATATGTTGAAACTAATCCTCCATGCAACATTCCCCCAAAGGTGAAACCTTCAAGTGGAGTTAGATCCTGGGTGTGCCTGAATTAAGACCATTATCATAGAAGTGGATTTGTTCTAAAAGAGAGGAGTGTGGCTCCTTTGATCCCTCTTTGTGTGTTGCCAGTAGCTTCTTCTACATTATCATGTAGTAAAAATGCCCTTGTCTGAGACAGACCCTTGATCTTGGGCCTGCATTACATACCATGAGCCAAACAATCTTCCGTTGTTTATAATATCCCCAATCAATAATTTCTGTTACGGCAGAAAACAAACTGACAGGAAACTTGGTACAAGGAGACGGGCCTGTTGGCGTAACAAATACTTGGAAGTGTGGAAGCAGTTCGGAAACTGGGTAAGGGGTACATGTTGCTCAGATCTGGCAGATTTTTCTAGGTTTTCATGAGCAGGACATTAAAGACAGTTCTAGATTCAAGAAGCGGAAACAGTCTGAACCTTTTTAGACATTACCTGTGGCAGTACATGGCCAGCATATTGGGAGAAGTATAGTTGGCAAAAGGCTGTTGTGATGTAGCCTTAGACAGATAGGAAGAACACGGACTTGGAACTTGGAGGAAACGCCGCTCTTGTTATGCAATTGCAAAGAACACATCCCTCATTTTACATAAGACAGCACATGAGTGACAAACTGGGTTACCTGGCGAAAGAATGTCTAAGCAGCAGTTTTTCTGTGTGACTATTTTTTAAGTAAATATGCTTAAGATGTGAGAGGAAAGAAATGACCTAAAGATAGAGTGGGAAAGTTGAGACCTTCACAGCCTTCACATGTCAAGAGTTGAAAAGGTTTGCTTAAGAGCAAACCAAAGCTGTGACCATGTAAATCCACTAAAGAGACCAGCGTGGATATAAGGAAGCCGGAAACTACCATCAGGAAAGGAAGAGACAGCATTTTGATAGTCTTTGTGGATCCTCTTTTTAACCACAGAGTCATAGCTCTAGGAGGGCGGAGCAGTTTTAGGCATAGGCCCAGGGACCCCTCCACGGACCTGCAAACAAAGGCCATCTCAGGACCATCTGGGCCCAGCATTCAGCATAGCACTCTGACCACTCCAGCTGTTGTTCAAGCAGGTGCAGCTGCAGCTTGACCCACCAGAGATTCCGAACACACTTGCTGTGGCTTGTCTACTTAGATTCCTAAGAATACATAGAAACAATGGAAGGCCGAGGCAGAAATCTATGGTAGAGATGGAACAGCTTCTGGGAGCCTGCCACTTAAGTGCTGAACATCAAGGAGGTGGGAGAACTATAGGCATTAAGACCCCACATACTGTGAGGTGTTGAGCAGATCGAATCCATAAAACCGTACATCGAGTTAAGGCTTCCTTAGGCCTTATGGGCCTGAATCCTACCTACCCCAGTATGTTCTGCCTCTGGAGTCAAAGGAGATTGGTCTCTGGTGGTTTCTTAGTCATGGGACAGATGTATACTAGACCTTATTTAGCATTTTCTTTTTGATGAATTATTGTCTTGAGATCCATTGAGCACTTCTGGATATGTTGCCTATTATGAAATTGACTATAGGAGATACTCAATCGAGGAGACACTTTAAGTATGAAATTCTAAGTGAAGGTATGTATTTTCAAATTTGTTAGATAAAATGGTTTTCTAGAGTAGTTTGTACCGGTTTACACTCTTAGCCACAGTGTGTCCATGGTTGCACAACACTTACCAGTTATTTTCTGCCTGCACTTTCAGCAGTCTGGAAGGTACGTCATGATTTATTGTGGTTTTGATCTGTATAACCTTGATTACTAATGCAAGTACACATTCTTGTTGATGGGCCATTTGAGTTTTTTTAATCTATTATTTTTCTGCTTATTCATTAGTGTGGAGATGTACTTTCCCCAGAATGACTCTTGGATTGGTCTGGCGCCCCTAAATATTCCTCGCTATGAATTTGGAATATGTGTTTTAGATCAAAAAGTTTATGTTATAGGTGGTATTGAAACTAGTGTGAGTCCTGGTGTCACCGTGAGAAAACACGAAAATTCAGTGGAGTGTTGGGACCCTGATACAAATACCTGGACTTCTCTAGAGAGAATGAACGAGAGCAGAAGTACCCTTGGAGTAGTAGTCCTTGCTGGAGAACTTTATGCTTTAGGTGGATATGATGGACAGTCTTACTTGCAATCTGTAGAGAAGTATATCCCCAAAATAAGACAATGGCAACCTGTGGCCCCAATGACAACCACAAGAAGTTGTTTTGCTGCAGCTGTTCTGGATGGAATGATTTACGCCATTGGAGGGTATGGCCCCGCTCACATGAACAGGTATTTAACATAATAATCGAGTTGCTTGTGTTTGTAGGTTTTTGCAGAAACACAATGTACAGTCATTTTTGAATTTTAAATAATTTGTGTGTATAAATGGACTTTTAATATGCTTAAATAATATTGATAGGCATTTGGAAATTTAGACTGTCCTAAGTGTAATTGTATTTTATCACTGAGATTCATATCTCTCCTATTAAAGTTTATGACCAACTAGTGAACTACATTTTAGAGCTCAGAAAACCTAAAACAAATTAGACAGATTTAAATTTTTATATGGTGCAATAATTTTGTATGTATTTATGTGTGTGCATGATTTTTTTCTTACATTGCTTAATAGAATAAAGTGGAAGTACAATTCATGTATTCCAGTCAGTATAAAACATCATACAATTAAAATCTTGGGCCAGTAAGATTGCTCAGTGGGTAAATGTACTTGCTGCACCAGCCTGGCAAACTGAGTTCAGCCTTTGGACCCCATGATGGAGGAAAGCACCATTTCTCAAATGCTTCTCTCTTTTTTGTGGTATATTCACACCCATATTTATGTATGGATAATATTTTTTAAAGAAGCAGCTTTTAAAACTCAAGCCTTATTTTATATTCCATTTGGGGTTCTATGGTCATAGTAGACATGCCATCACAGTACTAGAGTGAGGATGAGAGACTTCTGTTTCTGTAGTATATTCTTGGAATAAAGGAGAAACACAGATAAGAAAAAGTAAGGTCTGCAAGATACTGATTGTATGTACTGTGACTCATAGTTCTAAACCTCTGTTAAAAATTGATGTTCTAAGGCGTTTTCTCTCTTGGAGTGATGTTTCCCTCATTGTAAACAATCTATAATGAAAAAGTTTTGTGCTTATATATACTATACCATTTTGTATGAGGGATGAGAGCATCCATGGAATTGGTTCTGCAACCAATTCCTCGTGGATATCCTATCTAACTGTAGGAAAGAATAACATGCAGCTATTGCTATATCCTGTTCACACAGTAAACTTTTATACCTGAAATCTTATCTACAGATACCTAAATACTTGGGACAAATTACTGTTATTTTTATGTCTGGTTTTTTTACTTAGTTTTTAAAACTGTGGTGGGTTTTAGTTTTGGTTTGGCAGAAAGAGTGACAAAGTGATCTATGAATTAATTCTTCCTCATGTAAATACTTGCAGTGTGGAGCGCTATGACCCAAGTAAGGACTCCTGGGAGATGGTTGCATCCATGGCCGATAAAAGGATTCACTTTGGCGTCGGAGTTATGCTAGGCTTTATTTTTGTGGTAGGTGGGCACAATGGTGTCTCCCATTTGTCGAGCATCGAAAGATATGACCCGCATCAAAATCAGTGGACAGTGTGCAGACCAATGAAAGAGCCCAGGACAGGTAATATTTATTCAGTCATTCATTCATTCTTTTGTTTGTTCATTTTGTGGTCCTGGGGATTGAAACCCAGGCTTGTGCATGTAAATATCCTAAACTGGAACTACATCTTGAGCTGTTAACTCATTAAACTCAAAATACAGGGCTGTGCTTTATGGAGTGATGTTCTTATAATACTATCTTGTACCTTAACAGTAAGGATATTATTTTATCAGAAAAAATCTTGTGTAATTGTGTCTATGTGTCTATGTGTGTGTGTGAGAGAGAGAGAGAGAAATACATACAGAGACAGACACAGTGTGGTACATGGATATGGAGGTCAGAGAAAAACTTTACAGGAGTTGGTTCTCTGCTACCTTGTTTTGAGGGAGAGTCACTTTTAATTCCTGCTGCTGTGCCTCATGCTGACCTGTAATCTTCCCGCCATCTCTCCTGACTCCACTGCCCCCCACAATAAGCTCAAGTTTACAGTGTCTTTATTACATGCTGACTTTCTTTCCTTTGGGTGTGTTCCAAGAACTGGGATAGCTGGATGCTACAGTAGTTCTGTTTTTGGTATTGTGGGGAATTCCATACAGATTTCAGTCATAGACGAATGATTTACACTTTCATCAATGGTCTATCAGTTCCTTTTCCATGTGTTTTCTCCAACGTGTTGTTTTCTTGAATATTAGCCATTCTCACTGGGGTAAGGTGGAATCTCATGACACTTCTGGTCTGCATTACTTTATAGCTAAGGACAGTTGAACAGTTTTTCATATATTTCTGATTTGTACTTTTGAGAGTTTTCTGTTGAGTTTGTTTGCTCATTTATTAATTGAAGTATTTGGATTTTTGTCTAATTTGAGTCATTTATGTATTCTGAATATTAGCTCCTTATTAGATAAATATCTAGCCTGGATTGTCTTCTGCTTGTAGGCTGCTATTTCACACTGGTAGTAGTTCCCTTTGCTGTCCAGTCCTATCTTTTGTTTGCTCTTTGTTGAACTGTTACAGTCCTATTCAGAGAGTTATTATCTAGTGCCTCTCTGACTTGAGCCATTTTCTATTTATTTTCTTCTTGCAGCTTCAAATTTTCAGCTCATACATTAAGGCTTTTGATCTATTTTGAATGGATTTGCGTACAGGGTGAAAGACTGGCAGCTAGTGTTATTCTTCTACGTGCAGATTTCGGATGGTCCCAGCACCACTGTTAAAGAGGCTGTCTGTTTCCAGTGTATATTTTTGGCTCCGTTGTCAAGGTGGCTACAGCTGTGAGGATTGATTTCTAGGTCCTGTATTCTATCCCATTGACCTACATGTGGTTTTTTGTTTTTGCCAAACAATATATTTTTATTTGGGAATCGAGACCATTCCTATTTAGAGTTATCATTAAAAGGTGTATATTAATTCCTGTCATTCGGTAGTTATGTGGTGTTTTCTCCTCTCTTTTTGGACTTCATGTCCTGGTGTTATTTGTTCCCTGTGACCTCTTGAGTGTGCTTATCCTGTCGTCAGATTAAAGTATTCCTTCTAGTGTCGTCTATAATGTGTCATGGAGAATTGATTTTCTGATCTTGTCTACTCAGTGTTCCAGAGATCTCTTTTATCTGGATAGGCATTTCTCTCATAAGTTGTAAATTTTCTGCTGTGATTTATTGTACTGAAGATACTTTCTATGCCTTCACTCTGATTTTCTTCTCTTTCTGTCCTCTTTGGGTTCCTTAAACATATTTATAATTTCTGTTTTGAAATCATTGTCTTGTGTATCAACTAAGTCTCTCTTTCCAGGGAACATTACAATTAGGGGTGCTAATTTATAGGCATGTTGTCTTCATTATTCATGATGTTTATGGGGCCTAGGCATCTGGAGTTTGGTCATTACTGGTGGGATTTTGGGGGGTTTGTTTTTGTTTTTTGCTATGGATATCTGGTCTCACCTATACATATGCATACAGCACATATACACAGAAAAAATAATAGAGAGTGCAAAGTAAATAGAGACAGCAGTCCAGAAAAGAGAGGAGAGAGACACAGAGAAGAAAGGGAGGGAGGGAAAGAGGGAAGCTATCAGTACCTCTTTCTTCAGAGAAGCACTCACACACTGCACACCCCATATATATACCACACACCACATACACCATACATACCACACACAAAGCAATACATACACCACATATGCCATACAGCATACATATACCACACATGCCACATACAGCACACATACATAAACCACACACACATATACCGCACACCACATACACTATACATACCACACATAAATCATATATACCATTCATACACCACATACACCATACACCACACATATACCACACACACCACATACACTACATATATATACATACACCACACACAGACCATACATAACACATACCACACATACCACAGACACCACAAATATTCATACACCCACAGACACATGCATACATACTCTACACATACACATGACACATATCACACACACACACACACACACACACACACACACACACACACACACACCCTTTTGTTGTTTTCTAGATTTGGTGTGCAGAGGGTCAGTTTTCCCCTCTAAAGTCCCTACAGTTCAGACTCCAAAGGGCTGTTTGCCATGTGAGTCCTGTCAGAGTTTATCTGGTGTGTGGCCTGTTAATGTGGAAGTGCTGGCTCTACCCTCTGAACTGCTCCCCAGATGAGTCTGGTGACACACCCTGCATAGATGAAGCCTCCTCTCAGAGGCACTCTGCCTGTGTGGCTTCAGCATGGGAGATTTCCACAACTTTTTGTGGTCCTCTGAGAATATACAAATCAGTCAAGCCAATTTTGTCTCTGGTATCAGTAGCCAAATCACAGGGCTGTGGTTGATTTTGTGGGCCAGGGCTTTGCAATCCTTGACTCTAGCCACCTGTCTTGTACCCATACAACTTTTCTCTCATCTTACTGCTGCTTTGCTGGGTGTTCATTCTCAGCTTGCCTCTCAGGTGTGGCTTCCTCCTACAGTCAAGTAGATCTTTTCCCATGAGTCTCAGTCCAAGTCACAATGAGTTCTTGGTCACTTCGGCAGTGGGGGAAGGTGAGGCCTTTGTTGTTTAGAGATGTAGAAATGCAACATGTTCTGCTTCCCCTGCCCTGAAGTGTGAGACCTCTGCTAAGCCAAAGTCACCTGTAGTACCAGTGAGCAAGCTGGAAAGTACAGGGGGCCTCTCTGGCATCTGTGTGCCGCACAGGACACAAAATACAAAAACGCTTTTTTCTTTTTTTCTTTTGAGACAGGTTCTCATCATGTAACTCTGGCTGCCCTGTAACTTGCTCTGAAGTACAGCTGGCCTTGAAGTCAGAGAGAGCCACTGCCCTGCCTCCAGAGGGCTAGGATCAAAGGCGTGCACCACCATGCCAAGCTAGAAATGGCATTATAAACTTCCTTTTTTCAGAGTCACCTTGGGCACGTGTGGAGCCCTCCAAGTCCTTCCATCTCTCACTGGAGGACTCTCCTCTCTCTGTGTTGTTGGCTTAGTGCTCTGTGGGAGGGTTTCCTTTTACAAATCTACTGTTCTGTCTCTGTATTCCACCTGGTCTCTGTCTGCAGCTTTCTCTTTCCCTCCCTTGCTTTTCCATATCATCCACCTCTCTCCACAGCCACATACCTAATGATTGCTTCAGATTCTTGAGAACGCTGAAAAGTACTGTGGGTTTACTTAAGGTTTATTTATTTATTTAGCCTGCTGTCTCTCCTGTCCCCTTCTCTCAGCTCTTCTATTTGTTTTCTAGTCACTGTCGTTGTGTTCACTATCAAATAGTCTTTCCTCTGCAAGCAGGATAGTTCAGTCAAAAAAAGGATCCAATTTTACGGTTTCTAGAGAAGAAAAAAATACATCCTTAGGTATAGGAGAAATTGTTATTTTTGAGCCCAAACTCAAATGACATTATTTAAAGGGCAGTTTTTTTGTTTTGTTTTTTGTTGTTGTTGTTTGTTTTTTGTTTTTTGAGACAGGGCTTCTCTGTGTAGCTTTGCACCTTTCCTGCATCTCACTCTGTAGCCCAGGTTGGCCTCGAAATAACCAAGATCCACCTGCCTCTGCCTCCCGAGTGCTGGAATTAAAGGTGTGCGCCACCACCACCTGGAGAGCTTTCTTATTTTTATGATTAAAAAAAACTCCAGAATCATAAGAACTCAAGGAAATTAAAATACAAAGAACCATTTAAGTGTTTAGTTTCTCTGGCACACTCAATAAAAACAGTAAGATAAAATTGATAAAAACAGTGAGAATGTTTTAAATGTGGGTAGACTTACTATTTTTAGAACTATAGGTGGTAATATCTAAGAGAGGATTTTTAAGTTATATAGTACAATGTATTTGAAAGCCTGATTGAATTTATAGAAAGACATGCAAATATACATTAGAAATATATTGCTTTCTTCCTAGTATTTTAAGAATGCAAGCCAGCATACGCCTTTAATCTCAGCACTCAGGAGGTAGAGGCTGGCAGATCTTCCTGAGTTCAAGGCCAGCCTGCTCTACAAAGCAAGTTTCAGGACAGCCAGAGCTGTTACACAGAGAAACCCTGTCTTCAAAAAAAAAAAAAAAAAGAAAGAAAGAAAGAAAGAAAAGAATGCCAGTCATCTTGATCTGATCATTGTACTTTCTATGCATGCATTGACATGTCACACTGTAACCTGTGAGCAAGTCCAATTACTGTGCGTCAAAACTAAAGCATATTTTGAAAGTACTTTCCTGTAGTAGGGAGGGAGAGTAGAATTGAAGAACAGAGGTGAAGGCAACTGACTGCTTTGTTTTATTTTTGTTTTCTCTAGTAAGCCTATATTTCTATAATGTTTGTATAATTATAGTGATTGTTGAAATGAATTTTGAAAATGCATTGAAGTATAAATTATTTTATTCTAAGTGAGACATAATCTGCTTCATAATTCACCTGTGTGTTCTTTTCTCCCCACCTGTCTTAGGAGTTGGTGCTGCAGTAATTGATAACTACCTTTATGTAGTCGGTGGTCACTCGGGGTCTTCCTATTTGAACACAGTACAGAAATACGACCCTATCTCAGATACATGGCTGGACTCAGCTGGCATGATATACTGTCGCTGCAATTTTGGATTAACAGCACTTTGAGAAGTGTGAACTTGTGGGAATCGCACATGGTGGTGCCATGGAAAGAAGGCCCAGTGTCCTGAAAACTGCATTGCTTTCTCTGTAACTTGAAGTGGCGTGAAGACTCAGAGCTTTGTTGGGTACTTTGAACAGACAAATAGTTTGAATTGCTCTTGATTATATAGTAAAACAATAATTAAGAAAAAAAAAGAAAGGAAGGGAAAAAAAAGGAAAGACCTAACCAATTAAATTGTGCACTTTTCTCCACTAAGACTGGGATAGACTAGTTTTTATAATGCTAAATGTAGAGAAAACCTTGCTGCTTTTTAATTTTGTTTTCAATAATTTTAGCTCATTTTTTTAAATCTGTATTTTGATTTACTAGGAAGAGAGAAGCTTCAGACCCTGGAGTATATTGAATGACTGGACAGAATGTGGATAGTGATTGTTGGATATAAATTCATATGCTTAACATTGGTTTTTTTTTTTAAAAAGGGCTGCTTTTCCTTTGGGTACTTTTAAGGATTGTAAATACCATGTCAGTCATCTGAGGGCTCTTTCTGCTAAATGATTTTAGGGCTAATAGTGTGATAAAGTTGCAAAACAATGGCTTTTATTATCATATTTGGGGCCCTGTTTAAGACAGGGCATATTTATTGTTTGTGCTTTTTCTGTCTGGGCTGATGACCTCCTCTGTGCTTTGGTGAGCATGGATAGAGAGCAAACCGCGTTGGTTTCAGCTGTTCTCCAGTGCTACACAGCAGGCTTCTGACAGTCGATGTAAATACATTTGGAAGCTGCCTGGTACCACCCTTGATGCATATTGTTGTTTTTATGTGTTCTTAATTTTAGTTTTTTAAGGTCCTAATTTTGTTTTCAGTGTTCAAATATAAAAATGGTGCTAACTGTAGGATGTATAACAAAGCTATAACCAATGTTATTTGGGTGTTCAGTGTGAGATGCATGATGTACTATGATAATCTTTTTCATTTTTTATTGGCTTGACTTCATTTGTGCTTATGGAAAATAATAGTGATTACATTAATGTTAACATCCAAAACCATCTGAATGGCTTGAGTTATACTTCCCATGGTTTTTGAATGGTGACTTAAAGAATGATGCTTTTTTTTTTTTTTAACTTTCTTTCTTGTTCTAGAAATTACATGTCCTTTAATACAGACATACATGCACCAAATACAACATGCTAGGCAGGTGTGCATTACTTTTTTCATTTCTTAGGTAACTGAGTATTTTTAATTTATTGAGGAAAACTGGAACTCGATGTTTACTTGAATAAATGGTTCTAAATTTGGTTCTGCTTTGATTAAAGAAACAATCTTTCACAACAAAACTGTTACAGCCACTGACAGCTTATTTAAAAAAATAGTTAACTTATTCTAGCATGGTTTAGTAAATATCTGTTAGTCTTAACACATTAATTTGCATTTTATTTACTATGTTGGTACTTGCATTTTCGTATTTAGTAATTTTGTTTTCGTTTCCTTTATTTTTTTTCTTTTTTACCTACCTACTCTCTCTCTTTATAACTTCTACAAGACCAGTGAATATTTTTTCCTAAGAAAAAGAACTCATCCTGCATTCTTAAGTGCCATACTATTCTAACTATTGTTAAGAAGCCATTTGTAATTATAAAGCCTAGCTTTACCTGTTAGCATATATGTTATTACTCAAAAACTATAGCCGGGCAATTTGTAGATTTCCTTGTTTTTCCATAAACTACCCATTGTAGATTTGAGACTATACTATGAAACTATGTAAATCATCTTTAGTCATAAAGTAACACCATGCTTTACAAATATTTGCACAGATTATGAAGCCTTGCAAGTAATTTTTAGTCTCTTTTAACCTAGAACTCAACAGAAGCTAATACAATCAACTAAGTATTTTCTGTGTCGCTTATTTGAATATCATAGTGACACATAGCAATAACTTTTTCATTGGTTTGAATAAATCTGTTGAATAGGAATAAGGTGCACTATTGTGGTTGGCCTAAACCTTATTTAAAGAAAAGCATTTTAAAGTAGATTCCAGCAGATACACACTTTTAAATCCTAAGCATAAATGTTTTTGTTTATATCAGTCAAATTATTAAATGTATCATTATGCTACTTTTAATCTCTTCCTCCCAGAAGTGAAGTGAATTTGAAAGACTAGAAAGTTATTTTAAACATAAACACATCTATTCTAATCATTCTATTTTAACAGGGCTTTACTCATATATTGTTTCCAGTATGCAATTCCTATAAAATACATAGCCATTTGGTAGGTTAGATCAAAAGTATGTACTGACTATTATTATTTTTTTTTAATCTTAAGTTTTATCTTGCTTAAAAACTAAATGCAAAACATTTTGGGCAACGGTAGGATCATGTTTCTGTGAACAAAGTACAGAAACATACAAAGCAGAAAAAATTGCACTCAAAATTTAGAAATACACTGTATTTTAGGAATCCTGTTGTATTTTTCATAGTAAGCAGAGCTACTATATGTCCTGACACCTGGTAAGTTTACAACAGAGATTTCTCTTCAAATTCGAGAAGTTTCATATGAATACTGTGCTGGTAAGTTGTGAATGTAAAGCTACATGTTTCCTATGCAAAACAGGATGAAATGTTAGATTTAAAATCTCCAGGTTTAATGTTTTTAGAAATATGTATGTATACATACACATTTGTATATACCAATATATACACATATACATTCAATAAATATTGGCTACATATGTGTATCTATATTCACTCAAGAACTTGAAAGCAATGTAAGACTTCCCAGAAACATTTGGAAAAGAGTGACAGGGACGTAGAGATCTGATCAATTGCAGTGCCACTTGTCCTCTAGAATTATGTTAACGAATGTGTATGCAATGTTTGGCTATTTAATATTTATTTATGCAGTAATAGAACTTAATTGATTTTTAAGGTAAACCCAAAGGATATTTGCAAATTTCATGTTATTGCTAATATTTTAAATATGAATGAATATCAAATTATAGAATGTAGTATCAAATGATAGGAAAATGGCACTTGGTTTTGAAAGGTTTTTATAGTTCAACATATGTGGAGGATCTATATATGTGGAGATACCACGCTAGATGCTGTGGTGGCATCTACTCAAATGCAGATAGGCTACATTCTTCACTCAAAAGAGTAAACTATAATGGAGTTCATTCACTCCAATAATGATTATGAAAATCTGTAACCTAACTCCTTATTTCTAAGGTCATAGGAAGTGACTTGAAGCTTAGTTTATATATAAACAAATACTTAGTGTCCAGTTAGATTTTAGTGACATAAGCAAGATTTGTGAAAATTGTAATGTTTATAGAATCCATGTGGGGTTTGGAGAGATGGCTCATCAGTTAAGACTGACTGATGCTCTCAAAGAGGACCCAAGATTGGTTTCCAGCACTCAGAGAGGGACAACTGTCCCACAGCTCCAGGGGATCTGATGCCTTTCTCTGGTCTCTTTGGGTGCACCACCACCACCACCACCACCACCACCACCACCACCACCACCCACCCACCCACACACACACACACACAAATAAAAAAAATAACTTTAAAAAAAAATTTCCATGTTTCCTGGAATTGGATGGTATATTTTCTAAAGGAAAAACAAAACTAGGAAAGACATGGACCCATTTTCTAGAACACCGTGGCTCTGGCTAACATTAAGGAAAATACATGTGTGTATTATGCTGGGTCCTGGTGTTTGTTTTCAGCTGTGATGGTGGATTCCTAGTGTTGTCACCAAAGTGCTCATTTTTAGGAAAATCAAATTCTACAGTGAAGTCAAGTTCAATTGTGATAACCTCTCTAAACTTTCTATACAGAAAGTACACAAGCTCTGTGACGTGTCAAGTTAACATCCTGTTCTGCTAATCAACCCTCTCTTTCCCACTATAGACAGCACTTTAATTAGACAAGATTTAATTAGATAATGATTCTGTGGCTGGGTATTTATTGGCTCTTCACTTCCAGTGTACTGAATTCAGTGTTGATATTCACATTTGGAAAATAAGTTTAATACATTTTGAATAGAAAAAGTTTACAAATCTTACTAGTGTGAATATGGTCAAATAAAAATCCAGTTTACATCTCGCAGAGAGAAAAATTGTCACCCACGTCTTTCATATTATATATCCGCATGTCTTCTACATTTAATTTTGTCAAGTTATCGTGTGAAGTCCCACTTATTTTAAAATACCAAGCAAAAAGTTCCAAGTTTGCCTTAATATACATGTGAAATTAAAGAACTGGATGATAATACCTATATCTTTGCCTTATGAATTGTGCCGTGTCATGAACCAGAGATGGCTGTGCTTTTAACAGGATTCTAAAGCATTGTAGATGTGGAGTACCAGTGGGTGTCCTCTGTTGCAAAGAGTGTGGTTGGTTGGTTGTCAATAAGGTTCATGTTTAAATGTTTTGTACCTGTATTTTACCTCTGAATAGATACTTTTTAGCATCAGGGTTTTATTTTATTTTTGTTTACATAGTAAAGTGGCATTTAACTTGTTGAAGATTGTATTCTTTTTTATTTTATTTTAAGAGTTCTTTGTGCATATTATTGTGGTAATGCTCTGTAATGGTTATAGTTATATTTCACTTAATGTGAAATGTTTAAAATAAAACTGAAAAATGTAAATTTGTATCATGTAATAATTGTGAACTGAACTAATCTTTGTCATGTTCAGCTCTTCAGTCACTCAAGTTCTTTTGGATACATGGATGGATGGATGGTTGCATGGATGGATGAATAGATGTATGGATGTCTCAAAAGATAAGGTGCCGGAGTTTCACAGTACAAGCCTGTAATCCTAGTGAAGGAGGGTCAGGTGGACTTAGTCAAATCTGGAAAGCAGGGGTAAACCCACCCCTTTAAGAGGGCCTGCTGCTTGCTCCGGGCTTCGACTATTGCCAGCTCCTAATAGCATCTAGAAGAAAATTCCACTGGGGGAGAAAAGACCCTGTCTAAGAGAGTATACCCCAGCAATGGGCCAGGAAAGTGAGGGCCCAGGATCCAGAGCCCACAACAGACTCCCAGCTGTTTGGCCGACCCATCTCCCTGGGAGCTGTTCTAAAGAGGCTGCAGTTTTTGCCCCCCTTTCCTCTACCACCCCCCCCTTCTGTCCCACTCTCCTTCCACCCTTCTTCCTTTCCTTCTTTTCTTCCCGTCTCATGCTGCTGCTTCCTCAGTGACTGGCTTTCATCTCCTGCCCTGTCACTTGGACTTTCCCACCCAGCATCTGCTGAATCTGTCCCATTACCTTTCTCTGGGTTGGTCTTCTTTCCAGGGCGTACAGTTCTTTGTCAGTCCCACAGAACAAACTCAGCGGTACCCTAGATCACTACCCCACACCCCCAGGACCTGGTAACCTTAACATCTGGAAACTGTTGGAAGCCAGCCCACTCTAAGGAGTTCGCTGAGTGGTAACCACTGCTTTACAGTCTCGTTAGCAGGTTATAATAAAGGCATGCCAGAGGGCAAATTCTGCCCATGATTCAGACATTTACTAAACAAGCACTAAAGAGCTGAGTTGGTAAGCTCAATGTCTATCCTATGAGCGAGATTTACTCTAGGCAAACAAGGCAGTATCCCAGAGGAACCCATACTTTATAATCAGCATCAAGGAACCAGCAAGCTGTAGTTGAAGCTGTATATAAGCAATTGAGACAGGTGCCATTTTTGTTACCCATATTAATTATAAACCATAATTTTTCCATTATGACACTGGCAGTTTATATATATGTACCGTAGACTCTGATCATATACATGTTAACATTTTTGTGCCCCCCCCTCCCCCACTTCCAGCTGGTCCCCTTTCCTTTCCAAATACAGTTCCCCTTCTACTTTTATGCCTTAAAAAAGATCCAAATTCCACATGTGAGAGAAAATAAGATAGTTGCCTTCCTGAGTCTGGCTTAGTCTATGAACCACTTCAGTAAATGGTCTTTTATTTTTTTTTTTTTTTTTTTTTTTTTTTTTTTTTTTTGGTTTTTCGAGACAGGGTTTCTCTGTGTAGCTTTGCGCCTTTCCTGGAGCTCACTTGGTAGCCCAGGCTGGCCTCGAACTCACAGAGATCCGCCTGGCTCTGCCTCCCGAGTGCTGGGATTAAAGGCGTGCGCCACCAACGCCCGGCTCTGGTCCTGACATTTAATGTGATAATTATCATAACAGGGGGTTGGGGATTTAGCTCGGTGGTAGAGCACTTGCCTCGCTAGCGCAAGGCCCTGGGTTTGGTCCCCAGCTCTGGAAAAAAAAGATTATCCAAACAGTAGCTATGAAGGATCTGAAGTGGCTCAGTGGTTAAGAGCACTGGCTACACTTCCAGAGGACCCAGGTTCAATTACCAGAACCTGCATAATAGCTTAGAACGGTCTGTAACTCCAGCTCCAGAGGACTCAGTGCCCTTTTCTGACGTCTACTGCACACAAAGAGCACACAGACATACATGCAGGTAAGACATCCTTACTCATAAAATAATAAAGATCTCAAAAAAAAAAATAGCTGCCAATGAAACTGAAAAACGAAAGTACTTAGAGATTCCTTGTGTAAGGGTTACAAGCGAGCCGGACCCCCAAAGCTGCGCTGAGGCCAAAGAACAAAGCTTTCCTGGGGTGTGATCTGATCGACGGAGTCGAGAGAAGGCGGAGCAGCGCTGCCTGCAGGCGGATACCCCAGAACCGACTCAGGAAACGGGGGGCCCTGGAGGAGTGCTACAAACATGAAAATCGTCAACCTTTTTCTTTTAGGGAACTTCTGGTAATAACAGGATGCTGTGGTCTGTAGAGTGTATAGTTTTTATTTCCCTGGAAGGGCTTGCCCCCTCTTGGCCAGGGACTTGGGCCAGCCTGACACCTCAATTGTGAATTATGTGAGTACCAGCTCACTGTCCAATGCCTGATTTTTTTTTTCTTTTGAAAAAATGTTTTGTTGATTTTTTTTTTTTTTTTTTGATGCTGCTTTTTTCTTCCCCCAACTCCTTCCAGATCCTCCCTATCTACCCAACCCATGCTCTCTCTGTGAGTGTTACAGCTCTGGAGGGAAAGATACCCCGACTTATCTGAAGTGAGGCTATACCTAGAGATGCAAGAGACAGCTCTGGAGCTCAGGCCTGGAGGGAAAGGTATCCTGACTTGTTGGAAAGCCAGGCTATACCTGAAGCTGGGGTGCGGTGAGAGATGGTCTCCCCGCAAGATATGGCAATCCTGCTCCTCTTTTTGAGCCATTACAGCTGAGCTTTGCTCCACCCCGCCCCCTTAAGGGGTCTTCCCAGCAGAGCTCGGCTTCTCTCTGGCCCAAGATGTTGCTCCTTCTGCTTCACTCTGCTAAAGGGGAAATCCCTCAGGAACTGTAGCAATCTCCTCCTGATCCAGCGAAGTTACTCTTTTCTGCTCAGCTTTGCTCAGCCCGGCTAAGTCAACGTCTCAGCAAGGTTTTTTCCTACTCTAAGGGAACATCTCAGCAAGGTTTTTTCTACTCTAGGGAATGTCTCAGCAAGGTTTTTTCTACTCAGTTCCCTAAGGGACGTTTCAGCAAGGTTCTTCTGTTCTGTCGAATGAAGATCTTCACCCAAGACTTTTGAGAAGGATTTATTTGAGAAGGAGGAGTCCAGGAGAGCAGCTGCCTCTGCCAGGATGGGAAAGAACAGCCCACACCTGAACAGGCAGAGGGGCTTATGTAAGCCTTCTTAGGGGCGGAGTTTCTCCAGGGAGAAGATTTTCTGCTTACGGATTGGTTAGTTTTCTTGCTCGGGGACTGGTTAGTTTCATTGGTCAGGGCCAAACTATGTTTTTTCACTGGCCCCTTTTAGCCTTTTGATTCTAATTTTAGGGCCAGGGCATATTTCTTTCACTGGCTCTAATTCTAGGGACAAAGTGTGTTTCTCTGGCAGTGGTTCCAGTGTCAGGACATGTTTCTTAGCTTCTGGGTTCAGGGCTCAAGGGTTTCTTTCCTGGCTCTGGTTTCAGGGCCAGGGTGGGTTTCTTTCACTAGCTCTGGTGGGTTTCTTTGGCTGGCCTCTTTTCCCTACACTCTCATTAAAAAACAAAAAAGCAAACAAAGCAAAGAAACACACAAAACTAGAAACCAAAATATACAAGCAAAAGACCGATTTAAAAAAAAAGCAAAGAGCCCAAACAAAGCAATTTGAGATTAAAAAAAAAAAGACTACTGTGGAGTATTCCTTTTGACTGTGTGAATATGTGTCACTATGATTGGGTTAATAAAGAAGCTGACTGGCCAATAGCCGGGCAGGTAGAGGTTAGGTGCGACTTTCAGATAAAAGAGAACATGAAGAAAAAGAGGAGTCATTTCTGGAAATTGAGAGGAGACATGGAGAAGAGATGAATTTGCTATAGTAAGAGAAGATATGGGAGGGGGAGGCTGGAGAGATGGCTCAGAGGTTAGGAGCACTGGCTGCTCTTTCAGAGGTCCTTAGTTCAATTCCCAGCAACCACATGGTAGCTCACAACCATCTATAATGAGATCTAGTGTCCTCTTCTGGCCTGCAGTCATACATGCTGTATACATAAGTAAATAAATCTTTTTTTTTAAAAGAGAAGATACCAAATCATGTGGCAGAGTGTAGTAAGAAATATGGGTTAATTTTAAATGTAAGAGTTCAATCCTGAGCTATTGGCCAAGAATTTATAATTAATAATAAGTCTCTGAATAGTTATTTGGGAGCAGCTACTAAGACACAGAGAAACTCCACCTACAGATTATAAAAATACCATTGAGTTTGTCTTGTGTTGGCCATCTACTACTGGACATGGGCCTTACCCTTAAGTGTGGTTAATACACCCATTGAATCCATTGGAGAAAATGAATTTTCCCTCTTGCCATGGATGTTGATTAGGGATTGGTTAGGGATGGGAGCTTGTGTCTACTTCTCCATCTTAGTGCTGAGACTTGGTCTGTATTGAACCTGTGCAGGCACTGTGTATGTTGAGCCAGTTCCTGTGATTTCACATATTATGCCTACCTTCTTGATGTGGGAAATTCAGACTTAAAATTGGTACTTAAGAGATACAGCCTAAAGTGTTTAAAGTGTATTGTACATGAAGTCAAGTGTATTAAGAAGCACCTTGAAAGGAGTACATATTAAAATATTGAAATTAAGATTTCTTTTTTGGGAAGGTGCTATTTTGTTTTTCTTTTATGAGACAGGGTCTCTCTACTCTACATAGCTCTGGCTGTCCTGGAACTCATTATGTAGACCATGGTGACCTTGAACTCACAAAGATCCACCTGCCTCTGCCTCTCAAGTGCTGGAATTAAAATGTGTGCACCACCACACTAGAGTAAAATTAAGATTTCTTATTTAGATGGATGTTTTCAAAGTTCTACATTTTTTCACTCGGGCATTCCCAGAGAACATCTACATTACCTAGGACTCACTGTAAGTTCAATCAGTTTAGTAACTGCAAGTAATAAGGGAAGGTGAAAGAAGTGATATTCACCATATGCTATATTCTACTGGAAATGACAGAGTACTCAAGACCACCCCTCCCCCAGTTCACACAAAGAGAATAGAAAATGTCCCGCTCCAGGAACTTCCTCTGGACTTCCTGGGTTCTGTCTTCAACTTGCTAGATGGTTCTTTTGTTTGAGACAATTGTGTCGCAGAGGGATGGTGAACA